ATATGATTATTTTTTTGTAACTTTATACCATCAATTCTTTTGATTATAGACGCAAAACCTAGCAATAATATCTAAACCTTAATAGTGCTCATTTGATGTTTCACAAAAAATATGCATAGGTAAGAGTTAAATGATTCAATTCATTGATTCGTCATGGGGCACATGGCCTTTCCTCTTGCAGCAATAAGATCTGCTCTACATTGTCATGTCATAGAATAATTTGATCGATGAGGTTCTACTTTACTTTTTTCGCTTCGCTTATTAAGTTTTTTTTTTAACAAAATTTAATTTTTGGTCTCTTTTTTAGAAGGAGCCCATGTTTTTTATTCTTTAGCCCTAATTGTTTGGGTTGGATATCGGATTTTCCGTACGAAATTGTATATGTCTTACATAAAACTTTGGAGTGTCATATGTGAATAGTCCTAGAGCTCGAGATAGAAGTTTTGTCTTCTTGGAAAATGAGAGACGTGTCTGACTAAATAACCCTCTCTAGTGAATCAACTACAATGATCATTTGGGTATGCGTCGCACCTATGCATAGGTAATAATCACGAAGAAGATTTTTGGTAGATCCTTTTGAAAACTCTCTAAGATGTTTGGTACCACGCATGAAGATCATGATCTCTCTCCAATATCCTGAAATGGATGAAAAGAGAAGAGGGGTAGAGTTTCTTGGGAGAGTGGGTTTGGAACTCTCTTCCTAAGTATTGCTTTGCGTTAGGATACTTCTGAGGGAATATCTCACTGTTGTTTTCTTTTATTAAGTGTTATCTCCTTATTCTTATGTCCGTTTTCTTTTCCATCTTCCTCTCTGCCGGAGATCCTCTTCCTCTTTAGCTCACCCCCTCAAGCAATATGTTCCCTTTTGTAAATTCTTCCTCTCTGGCTTAAGAATCTTCTCATAAATTGTCGTTGCTTCCTTCTCTGCTCAAGTTCTTTGCTTAGTTTTGTCCCAATCCTCTCTGTAAGATCCATGACTGATGCCCTTGTTGGGGCTTATTATTAAAAAAAAAAGTTCGAGTTATAAAAAACTCATATAACACATGCAACCAATTAAGTGATTTAGATGATCATGATTCATGACATGCTAAATAATAAAAAATCATTGTCACATATCACCTTTCAAAACAGAGGACATAAACAATTTATAAATCGAACAACATCTGCATGGAATCCTATTATTAATCAA